GGCTGATAAAATGTCCAGCCGTCATCTTGATACGTAAGGGGCACAGGAGCGAGGGAGCCCCCTTTCCAGATGTGATTAATGTGTCAGTCGATGATCTTGCCGTCATCGAGGCGTACTGAGTAGTTGGTATTTGATGTAGCCTTGATAATAATACCTTGTTCTCTTCTGTCCTTACGGGTTAGTACCGCTACTCGGTCTCCCGCCATTAAGTGGCGTGGTCGAGCACCGTGATGCTTCAAAAATTGCTTCGACATGTCTTGTTGTTTGGTTGAGAGTTCCGCTGAAGCCGGATTCGGGGTGTTGTTTCTGCAGCCAATTGGTAAACGGAGAGTTCATACGGCGTCCAAAAAAGAGGTCGACTGGAGCTTTACCCTCGAAGGCATTTGAGCAAGGGGTGTAGCGATAGTTGTAAAGAAAATCGTACAGCTGCTGCTTCTAGTTGGATGGGTCTTTAGCGATTGCTCTCTTGTAATTCCAAATCTGTTCCAAATCTGGATTTACTTTTGTTTTCCAGCCTTGTTTGATGGCTTAGAAAACAGCACGTAGAAAAGGGCACTCTTTGGTTGCTAACTTCAGTTTGTCTCGAAGTTCTTTACCGAAAAAGTCGATTGACAAATTTTTGATCTGAAGAAGCTCTGATTCGACATTACGGAAGCTACTTGAAGTTCTTCTGCATTGTCGCGACGGAAATTATCAATTAGACGAGAGAGTGTGTCTGCTTGGCCAAAATCCTGGGTACGTATGTATTCGATTTTAAAGTCGTAACCCAGTAATCGTATTGCCCAACGTTTAAGCCGGGTTGCAGTCGTTGGTTTGAGTCCCTTAGTATTGTCTGTTTGTAGTAGCGCCACGAGGGGTTTGTGGTTTGTTTGTAGTATAAATCTTCTTTCTCAGACAAACTTATGGAATCGCTCGACGGCTGTGACGAGTGTGAGTGCCTGTTTCTCCAATTGGGAGTAGTTGCGTTAAGCGCTAGTGAGACTTTGAGCCATGTGGAAGACCGCACGTTCATGGCCGTTAAAGTCACGTTGTAAGAGAACGGCACCGATTCCAGTAGCACAAGCGTCAGCTGCTACCACTAAGGTTTTCGAAGGATCGTAATGTTCCAGTAGAAGGGGTCTCAGCATAACCTTCTTGATTTGTTCGAACGCTGAGTCATGAGGTTGGCTCCAAATCCAAGGGCGATTTTTGCGAGTGAGTTCTTCCAAAGGATGCTTTAACTGATATAGGTGAGGAATGAATTTTCCGTAGTGATTCACCATACTAAGGAAACTCTGCACTTCTGAAACGGAGGTAGATTTCGGTATGTTGGCTATGGCACTGGTAGCCTCTGGATCAACTAAAATGCTATGGGAGTTTATAATCCATCTTAGGTATTTGATTTCCTTCAATGCGAAATGGCATTTCTCAGCTCTGAGTCACAACCTCGATCTTGCAAGCGTTGCAGGGTGTTGTGTAAGCGGATATCGTGTTCCTGTTGAGAGGAACCTAGGACTACGATGTCGTCCAAATATGCATACACTCCAGGGAAATCGGAGAGTGTAAGATCCATAGCTGAAAACTAACTGTAGACGTTTTGATTCCGAAGGGTAGACGCTTAAATCTGAAAAGTCCTTTTGGTGTTGTAATAGTTGTAATGTCACAATGAGCTTCGTTGATCTCCAGTTGGAAAAACGCGTCACTGAGGTCCAGTCTTTCATCCAATCTTTCTTACCGATAATCGTAATATCTGATCCCGTATCGTACTAGAGAGTTATAGGATTACCGAGCACGGAAACTGTTACATATTGTCATCGGCATTTATCGATCGCGGAGAGCGAGTGAATTTTGACGCTACTTGATTTAACGGCAGCTTGGTCTTTGGACTGTTCTACATTCGCATCATCTTTCGTCTGTTCGGCACTTGAGCAACACACTTTCGCGATGTGATCTTTGATTGAACACTTATGGCAGATCGCGTTGCGGAAGGTACACTTTGCATGCGGGTGTGCACCGCCACAACCATTACACTTTGCGCTTGCGATGCGACGGCGGATAGCTTGTTGCTACCTTCCAGCGAGGGTTTCCATTTCGGAATGTTTTTCTTTTTAGACAGCGAGATCTTTAGCACATAGAAGGTTGAGAGTGTTTTGTTGTATTTTCCATCGTTTTTAGGCCGGAGGAAACTTCATGTGTGCTTTGAGCTTTGCGACGATATCCTTGAGTGAAGCATCTTCGTTCTTCTCTATCACGCGGAGAGCGATTCTCTTTAGCTCGTCGTTATCCTTGAAGTAGCAGAATGATTGCAACAGGAGAAGGATGCGAAGGCTATCGTCCGTCAACTTAGAATGATGAAGTCGGCCGCGTGACGATTGATGCGGTCAAGATGTTCCGTGATTGGAATCGACTTAACGTAATGATAGTTTAGAATTTCTATACGACGGCGAGTAATGGGAACTTTGCCTCGTAAAAGTTGTTTCAACGTTTTAATAAGTTCGTCCTGAGGTATGCGCGTTGGATCTATAGGCGCGGCGTGATCTACCAACCTGTCGAATTCCGTTTGACCGAGCTTGTCTAGCACCAAATGTGTTTGCATTTTAGGTGGCAGGAATGCTGCTTCCGTGACGATTGTGTATTCGTAGCGAAGCATCCATTTTGTGAAAGGTTTTACTCCGTCGCCAGAATCATAATGATATCTCTCTACACGAGCACTTAGATGATTGTAAGTCTCAGAGAGAGATGGTGTGTTAACTGGCGATGCCATTTCTTGATCGCTTCGTTGTTGTGTGAATTGAAGTTGGAGAAGACTGTTAATGGCGGCCGTCAGAGCCTCGATCTGTTTCGTCGTGTCCGTCATCCTCGATTGAGATCACGTTATTCATTTAAAAATCCGTAAAAAAAGAAAAGGTCCGCAGCGCCAGTTGTGGGGACCTAATGCGAGGAAAGGCGACGGGATGCACGATACCAGGTATGTAAATATGAAACCGGAATTTACCAATAGATGGCCATAGCTGTCAATGTAGTTGCCGTCAGACCGCGTCATTGACGCCATTTCCTTGTTCTGACATCTGATAAAGATTTTCAACTCACAACAATACAAGTGTCATACAACAGTATAGTTTGTAATAGCGTTGAACATGTCGAATTTTGTGCCTGGAAACTACGATATGCGGGCAGCATTGATTTTCTGTTACCATTTGAAGAAAACTGCTGCAGAATCGCATCGAATGCTTGTCGAAGTTTACGGTGAGCATGCTCTTGGTAAATTACAGTGCTTTGAGTGGTTTAAAAAATTCAAAAGA